TTCTCGGACTTTGTACTTAACATGCGGCTGAAGAAGCATCTGCAAAATAGAAATCACTTCTCTTTTCCAGCAGTGGCTGAAATTTTTTGCCATTGGCAATATAGAAAGCACGCATGAAAATACTCTTTTTATAATATTTCTTAATATCAGTTTTCATAAGAGGGCTTTATATATTGGTACAGGCAAACCTGTGTTTAAACTAGATACTTGTGATACTTTTTGATTTTGTTCTATTGTTACATGTGTAGTCAGTACTGTGAGTGAGGACAGAAATTCTCACCTTCTCTGTGCACAGGGGTCAGGTGGACGGGTTACCAATTGTGTTAAATTCTCATTGCCAAGGAATATACCAGTTATGTTAAGAGTGTCTGTATGCCTATGTAGTACAGGCATACTCTCCTAAGCCAACTCTCCCTACACAGTCTCTTGAGTTGGCATGAGGAGGGATGTGCACACAAATACTCCATATTTATATAAATGCACCCAATGTTTAAGTTGCTGAACTGCAGAGAATGTGGAAAATATCTGCAATGTAAGAGAGAAACCCATGAAAAAATGTAAAATCCCAGGCTAAATGGGGACGGACTGTAATTTGTTTTGTATAGAGATAAAATTCACTCCAGCAGGTAACATCCATGTTCTACGTAACATGGGTTGGGTTTCAATTTACATAAACATAGATAGGTGTTCCTGCCCCCTTCGTAAGTTACTCCAGCTCTAGCACGTGAAAGACTAAAGAACATACTAAGCAGCCTTTTGGTCTTTTTTGCATTCAAAGTAAGCAAGCTGAATCTCAATACTTGGTTCCTAAATCCAACTGAATCTTTTGGTTGAGAGGTAGGGCTGCCCCACGCCAACTGAGTTACATGGAAGTAGCCTGTACCAATGGTCACCTTCTAAAGACATGCCTGATGCCATGTGCGTTTCCTTTGTAGACCCAGCTCCTGTTGAGTCAGGTGTTTTAAACTGAGGTTTATGAAGCTCTTTAGAGAGTGAGCAACTATTTTCCACTTACCAGACAACACCTCAGAGATTCTGTTCTGCTGCATTAATACAAGCAGGTGATAAGTTGTATTATCTACTAGCATTTTTGAGGGCTAGTGAATTGGGAGGACAAGGTGAAACTCAATCTGTACATCCACAACTGATTTTAAACGATTATGATTATGGCAAAATTCTCAAATAACTCTGTAACATCTGCAAACTTCACTGATGCAATGAAAATTAGTTACTTTTTGGCAATTTACAACAGTGCTTTTTAAACAAATGTTTTTCCTCTTCATAGGTAAACCTGGACTACTGATCTGCAAAATCACCCAATATGCACCATTTACTGGCTATGCAGGAGCAAAACAACAAACAGAGAAGAAGCAATTAAGAGATGTCTTCGAAAAAGGGGATTTGTATTTTAATAGTGGTGACCTTTTAGTGATCGACAATGATAACTTCATTTATTTCCATGATCGAACTGGAGACACATTCCGGTTAGTTTATTGATGTAAATGCTTGTCACAAGAGAAAATTCTGACTCATTCTCAGGTTTTAATTCATATCCAGTCTTTCCTACTGACTGATGAAGAGGAATTTCTCTGACTTCAGTCAGAAAGAGAGAGGACTCCACGTCATCTCCACTGTTGTATTTTTTGAGTCGTGTTTATAGTTACATACAGAGCCTACAAGAGGTTCAGCTTACGGTGATGAGTGAATGCTATTTTGAACAGTCAGAAACCAGTCACATTCATAGAAGAAAAACATTGTGGTTTCAATATTCACTATACTTTTAAAACTCAGAAAGCATAGAGCCTCGGATGGAGTCCAAGGTAAGTAATATTTTGGGGGTTTGTTTGTTTAGAGCCATTTTAAGCATGATTAAACTAAGTGTGTTAAATTCTTCTGAGATTTGAATAATCTGGAATGCATTGTTGAATTTTGCATCATGTTTTTCTTTACTTTTGATAACAAGTTCCTTGTTCTAGTGCAAAAGTGCTTTCTGATCTCAAGCTCAGTGCTCAGCTCATTGTAAAGTCAGACATTAAAACACTGGAGATCGCTATATGTAATACACGTAGAAATCATTACTATCGACTGCTTATTTTCCAGGTGGAAGGGGGAAAACGTTTCTACAACGGAAGTTGCAGATGTTTTAGGACTGATTGACTGCGTTCAAGACGTTATTGTATATGGAGTATCTGTTCCAGGTATGAGTGGAATACTTGGAAGTATTTCAACAGAAGAATTTTTTAATACAGTAATAAAATACACAGAACTGCAGAGTATAGGTAGCCCTACTGCAGCTTATCTTTCGTAAGCTACATTTGATACATCCATCATTTAAATGTATGCAATATTAACTAGCTAAAAAAAAAAATAGCCAAAGCTTATATTGATGTAGTATAAAAAGAATTCTAACAGGAGAATGGAAGAACATTTGAGATTAAGTATCCTGGATATAAACATTGGTGTGTCTTTTACAGGAATATAGCTCTGCAATTACTGTACTGTAGGAAAAACAAAATAGACTTGAATTTGTAGAAGAACAAGAACGTTACTTCAGAAATTGATTCCTCCGTTTTTCACCTTTCTTTAACAGTCTGAAGGAATGCAAGTGGTTCTGACGTTTACTGCCTTTTTTCTACTCCTCAAAAATTGGTGAAATCTTTGAACTTTTATAAACTCTTTAAGTGCATACAGCAGCTTTGTTTTTCTTTTTTTTTGGTTTTTTTTTTTTTCCATTTGAGAGGCAGTGCTGCTAAAGGCAGATTCCCAGAGATATTGGAAGACAAAAGAGGAAACATATAGCTTTACTATACTTTCTTATCTCTTGTATTTTGGAGGTACCTTCCTGTCCATGCTTCTCACCTAGGATCCATAGGACTCCCATCTAGCTGCTCACTGCATTTAGGTTGTGATGGACAGTTAAAATGGAACCCATTCTTACAGTGTAATGTAGGGATCCAAAATTGAACAAATGAGGTTAGATTTGATCAAAATCCCAAGTATTGCATTGTGCAAGTGGTTTGGAGTGGGTGGCATAATACGTTGCATGCCCTTAAAGCAGTTTTAAAGAGGAGAAGGAATTTTGGAGCCCCTATTAAATAAGTTAACAGATATTAACAGGTATAACAGATTAATTATGAATTCATTAACAATATTAATTAACTTAACAGGTATCACACTTTTCCAGAAAGGTTTCCAGACGATGGTATATTATAACATGGGTCACCATCAATGACAATTTAGTATTTTGGAATTGAAAGGCATGTTAGAGATGACACTCTTCCTGCACCCACCATTTCCTTCCACCACTTATTCAAAATATGAGAAATTCAGTTAAAGTTATGATCCACTCACTATTTCCTCTACTAAAAGTGGAAGACACGACAATAGAAATGGCCAGTGTTTCTGAGGCTAGAATAACAAAGCTGTTTATAAACCAAGATGATCTATTAGAATAGTGAATTTAATTCAAATGAATAAACTTTTCATTAATCATGTATATTTCTGCTACACCCGTTGATCTAAAATTAAAGCCTCTCTCTTTAAATCACTTATTTTTTCAGCTGCTTTGTGGTAGGGATAAACACACAGCTGCCCTAGGAGACATTTCAAAAGAAAGCTAACAACATAAATGGTCTAAATTCTTCATGTATTTCTCAGATTATGCTCTAGGAGATGAGGAAGTTATGCTCGTATTCCCAGTGTTCTTGTAAAACCACATAGAAAAGCTGTTAATACCTAATTATGGAACAACTTTATGAAAAAAAATATTGTTCGAACTGGTTCTCACCTTACATTTGTGTAAGAACTGGGTGAATTGTGCGTTGTTGGATTTTTTTTTTTTCCTGTTTCACATGGCACAGAAATACTTGTACTTTAGTAATGTAGCTGGGGTGATAGTATAGATCACCTGAGAACTCAGTAATTCAACATTATAGGTTTGAATAAACAAATTGGAATGCCAAGTGTCATCAGTACATGGCATGAAAGGCAAACAGAAACACGACTCAAAAGAAACTGAAGAACATTTCATCTTAAATTAGCATATGCTTGTGCTCTACTTTTCTTTAAGCATTAGAGAATGCTACTTTCTGTTTTCACTTCCTCCTGTACACAATTCTGTGAAAGCGTTCATATGGTTCTACTGTAAAACTTTGTATAAGAATATTACCAGTTTCTTCTTGCATTACCTATAATCCCAGAAAACAGAAGGAACACCAAGAGGTTTGTGTTTAAATGGTGTCCCATCCCTCAGCCACCAAAAGGGGGGAAGAAGCCCTCTTGGTACGTAGTTAAAGTACTTGGATTTTTGCAGTGCTTAGTTAATCGTTCATGTGGCAATAAACAATGCTAAACTGGGTCTTACTCCTTTCTGTTCTCTTTCTGCATGGATCTTGTCAGCACAAGTACAGGCATATTTACCATGATTTATTGTAAAGTAAATTAACCCACACAGTTAAATCCTGCTGCAGGCTGACTTCTGCCTCAGAGTACTGAGACCTGATTTTCCAAAGTCTTTCTGAAGACTTTTGAAAGAAGGATGATTTTCAAAATGTCTACCATCTATAATTCTGATGCTAGGCTTTCAAAAGAATTTGGCATCTAGCATGCTGAAGCCCTAAGAAAATCTAATTACATAGATGTCTAAAGGAAAATATGTTAGTATGTTTTTAAAGTGGCTTAGAAGGAAGGGTTCACTTACAGGAGAAAAAAAAAAGTTAGTCTGAAATTCAAGTTTATATATGAACTACAGGTATTTGCTGTCGTTATTCCTTCAGGTTATGAAGGCAGAACAGGAATGGCATGTATTCGGCTAAAGGAAAACTGTGAATTTAATGGAGAAAGTACTTACAGACATATTAACACTCACCTTCCAAACTACGCAAGACCTCGTTTTATAAGGATTAAGGTAAACCAGTGTTCCTGAGTAGCTTTGGTGTGTCCGTCTGCATTGTGTTTTCTCTCTTTTCTACAAGGACTGTGGACTTCCTAGTTATACTAGCAATTCTCAAAAAGGCTTCTTTTGTCTTTCACTTGCTCTTGTCATTTACCAATATGAAAGTAGAACTGCACCCAGATGTTTCAGTTAAGCCTGAAAAAAACCAACTTGTATGAGCAGCTACAGGATACCTGGTACATTTTAACATATAAAATCAGGAAGATCTCTTAGTGGAAAATACATTTCCTGTTGGATTCCTTCAGCACAGTAACACAGCTGTGCTCTCAGTTTAGTGTAGCTCCCTCTACAGACTGTTCTGTGCAAAATAAAGATCCCCCCGCAAACAAAAGCTTGCAAGAGAGCTGTCTTTTGCAAGAGAGGCCTTAGATTTTTATCCTACCAGTGAATAAATAGCCAAATTCTAAACTGAAGTTTAACTTGAATTAGGAAAATGTTTTAAGACTGCTACTCTCACTGTACTTCACAAGTTATTTACTTAAAATAAACATTGCTCATTTGAGAACAGTTGCTGAGGTGATTCAACAGGACTATCATGGAGATACTAGCATGCCTAATTATTTCACCAGTCTTTAAATTTGAGTTGTGCAAACAAAACAGTTGACCAGTCAAGGTAGTGGTTTGTCTTGGCATCCCATGTAAAGTACAGTGAGTCTTGCCCAGTCTTCAACTGCCATTTTTCTTTGCTTTTTTTCTGAGAAAACTTCTGCTGGTTTTTTATCTGAGAACATAATTAAATTATTTTCTGGATAAAACCCTTGAGTGTCTCTGCCTAAAAGATGAAAACTAGTGTTTTCCTGCCTCATTTCAACAGAAGGTAAGGTAAGCCTTTCAGTGATGGCCCCAGCACTTTGTACATTGAGTATTTACTGTCCCACATATTCCACAGTCGTGTTATTATCTGATGAATGCAGATAGTTTAGACCTCTATTAGTAAGGCTTACAACTTCTGCACTGTATGGATTTTCTTGAAATGTGATTCCCTTTAAATTTAGGAAATCTAATTTAATTCCCACAATTATATGATGACATTAATAAGTAGAGACGTAATTTTGTTTTGTAGAGTGCGATTGAACTTACAGCAACTTTTAAGTACTGTAAAGTACAACTAGTGGAGGAGGGTTTCAATCCAGCAGTCGTCAAAGATCACCTGTATTTCCTGGATGACAAAGAAAACCTGTATGTACAAATGACCCAGGACATTTATAACTCAGTAAAAAACCATGACTTCAAATTGTGAGCATGTCAAATAATCTGTTTTATAAATTAAGTTTTTAAAGCATCTGTTATTCTAACCTCACCAGGAAATCATATTTATTAACATTAGCAAATATCAGTATCTGAAATAAAGCGTGAATGTGAGATTGTTTTAATAAAGCAGATCTTCTCCAAGTCTACTTGTATCTTAGCCTGGCTTCTCCTCTCCTTCATACTTTGAATCTTACCTAGCTTCCTACTGTGTATGGATGTATTGTTAATGCTGTGAACATTAACACTGTGCATCTGAGTGTGTGAAAGTGGGTACAAGGTAAGACATCTTTATGCAAATACATTTATAGTCATATTAAAGGATGACTGCATTTACACTGCATTAGTAAATATTACATCTCTAAGTCAAAACACAAAACTTATTAAAAGAGACCATTAATGAAGCCTAACAGTTGTCTCAAATTAACTAATCAAAAAAATCTGTATTAGATGCTTACATTAACTTTTATCCATTGCAGCAGAGATGCCCTCTTATTTTTCATGCACCAAATAATACATACACAGAATGAGAACAATTTATAATAACTTAAAACGTATTTTCCTTTGGGTGCAAATAGAGTATTGGCAGGCCAGGGACTTCAATAATAAAGTGTGGCTTAGATTTTCCTAGAATTTAAAAAAAGGCAAATAAAATAAACCTGTTCTTACTAGAAAGTGTTATCAGGCCAAATTTTACTGCTCCTTGTAACACATGCCTCGATATACCCCACTGTGAGTTTAGCTGATGTTGTATAAAGGTATGGAAATTATTCTGATTAACCAGTCTCATTGTTTATATGTAACGTAAGAAGAGTTGTACTGGGTCAGACTGAAGATCTGCTGCCTTCAAGATGGAGTGACTGTAGGTGTCTGGAAAGAACTATGAAGAAGGCAGTAAGCATCTAGCAGTGCTTTCCCAGAATAATCTCCTAGAAATCATCATACTTCCTGACTCAACAGTAGTATCTCTGAATGTAAAGCTGCCCTCAGTAGATTTTTCTCCCCCCATTTTTTTAAATTATTCTTGAAATCATGTAAATCATTGGCCTCTTGTAGCAATAAGGTTGTTTGCTGCATAGACACCCTTTCTTCTGTAATGCCTCTCTGTTCTTCTGTTATGAGAAAGGGTGAAATATCATTCGTACTCTCTTTCCTCATGCACTTGTGATTTACAGACCTTAGGTAATGGCAAGAAAGGCCACAGGTGCTTAGCAAGGGCAAAAAGCCTCCTGTGCACAGATGGAATGGCAGGGCTGCTGTGTTTTTAAACTTGGGGAGTTTTAAAATAGCCCCAGTACAGCAAAATCTCTTACAAGAGGTTACAGCTTTCTTTTTGCACAGTTCAGAACTGATGTTGGCATTGTCTCCACACACAGATCCTCACAGCAGTCTAGAGGGTTTAAGTCAAGATATTAAAAAACAACAACAAAAAAAAAAATCAATGGTGCAAATAGAGAGCTAAATTGTTTACTACTTACTGAGGCCAAGCATATTTTGTAAAAACGGTTCTAGCCTACCAGCTAGAAACTGTCCATTACCAGGACTGGTAAGGCAGAAATTGGCATTTTCTTTACCACAGTCTACAAACCAGAGAGTTTCATGTTACATGCCTACAAGATTTATTTGACATTTTAATCTATAAATACACAAAGTTTCCACCAGTAAAAGCACAGGAATTTTCTCAGCGGTCATTGCCACTGCTTACATATTGAACAAAGTAACATAGTATTGCATATGAATAAGCAAACTTTGGTTCTCTTTCTACCTGGAGACATCTTAAGGACCAGTCTCTTTCACTTGTTAAACAATGGCTTGCAGAGGACAACAAGGCAGCTGAAGGCCACACTGAATGCTACACTCCGGAAAGCTTGGGACACTGTAGAACTTAATTAGTTTTTTGAAGGCACTTTTTTTGAACATCATCACCTCTTCCGGCAGCCTGGAAAGAATTCTGGCATTTGCATGAGACTCCTTCTTGTCAGTGGCTGCTGCTTTGGGGTTACATTGCTCAAGACTACCAGTCATTTGCACGCTGTTGCAGCTAAGGGAACGTGCTGTCTTTTTCTTGCCTTGAACAGATAAGTAACTGAATAAAAAAGAGGTTAACTTATGTTTGGTAACATCTTGGACATCTTCCGGGAAACAGTCATCTAGAGGATCCCCTTGACCTTTCACTTGTTGACTAATCATGCACATACTGGGACTCACAGGTAACTTCTTAGGCTGAACTACTATTTTTCTGGAAGGTGTTTTGTATTTTCCTCCATCTAGATAAAGCTGAGAAGCATTACTAATGACATCAGAACTAGGCTTAACTACCGTATTAGGAATTCTTGCCCCATCACCAGAATTAATGGTGCAGTGCAACCCATAATTCTGGCTAACGATCTGGGCTGCAGTGTGTTGAATGATGTTCCAGTCTTGCAGAATATCTTCCCTGGTTGTGAACTGAGATGTTACAGTGAAGCGAATGATGAACTTGTCATGAATGGTTGCTGGAATAAGGAAGAGCCTGCCAGAACTGCTTAGTTCTTTCAGGAGTTCTTCCGTCAGCCAGTTGGGACCCTGTTTTAAATATGAATTAAAAAAAATACTATAGTTAGAATTTCCAGTGATATTTAAACGTCTCTGAGAATTCCAGCATTGCAAATTCATACATGAAACTTTATTCTCAGTTCTTAATGTCTGGGGAGAGATCAGCTGTGGTCACTTCTACAAAGAGACATGTAAAAGGCCCAATCTTTACCTTTAGGCGAAATACAACCAGTCCAAGATGTCTCTTGGCAGGAACTTCAAAGAGTGGGTCACTTTTAACCAAGGATTCAAAGAATTTGGCTGTTTCAGTACCCTGTAATTATGGAAAAAAAGTAGTTATGTATTGGTTTGTCACAAACCCACTGTAAGACACTAAACTAAGTAGTTAAAAAGAATTCCTTTCCTTACTAAAACACATTATTCCAATGAATGAATGGTAGCAAACAGAAGAATGACAACAAAGCTAAGAATTTTAAAGTCTGTCTCTATTTAGCCAAACGCGTGACAACGGACAAGAGTAACTGGACTATACATAGGAGTTTTCTAGAAAAAGGTTTGAAAACAGAATGTGCCTTCTCAGATTAGAGTCCTTTTGCGGCAACTGTTGATCCACAATATGATCCCTTGTATTTACACTCCATCAAAGACTTAAGCCTGTAAATTTTCATAGCAATGGGTTCAGCCATCCATCACAGCTTGCCTCCCAAACAGCTGCCACTTTGCCTCAAAGAAAGCTTCTACAGATTAGTACTCAGTAATGTGCAGAAGGCATTGACTTATCGAGTCGCTTTCCATTGCCTAGTGCTTCCAAGGGTACAGGAAATGTTTTGTCTACACAGTCAATCTTTACAGATGACTTAAGAGTAAAATCTGCACGCATTTAGCATTCACATGCAAGCTTTGTGTGTGAGAGGATTTCTGTTACTCATCTTTGCATCACTGAATTTATTAAACTCGGCTACCAATAAATTAACATAATACACACACGCTTGCATTGTTAATTCACGTACATGTCGGACATGAGCTTGAAGCTTTTTCACCCCAAATGAACGAATCACAAACCACAGCTTCAAAGAACGAAATCGACGGCTCAGTGGAATCTGCCAGTGCTGTGAAAACACAACAGTGTATCAATGAGTGCAAAAGCAACTGAAAGGAGTGTCCCCTTACACTGAGTCTGTTACTTCACACTTGGATCAGAAATCTCTGTTGACACAAATAATTTCATATTACTGAAAATCCGCTAAGCCTAGGAAATAGCCATCAAAGAAATGCTATGTCTACATACTTTTCAATTACTTGCAAAAATAAGATTTTGGCTATTCCTCTTAATTTACGTCTTAGATATGCTTAGAATTTTTAGGTAATTAACCACACCTTTTTGCATCTAAAGAGCATTATCAGCTCAAGATGTGTCCATTTACGCTTTAGGGCTGAGTGCTCATTTCAGTTCCTATAATTTGCATATTTAAGTGCCATCTTTAACGTTTTCCCAAATCAACTATGAACAGCAAGAGTTGATATAGGGGTAGACCCTTCCAGAAGAAGTAACACCTACTGCATGGAAAAGAGTGACAAAACATGTAAAAGAATACTCCTAGAGAGCTACACAAGCACATGCAGGGTCTTATTTAACCACAGGAGGGACTCATTGATATATTTTTTTTCTGCCACTCTACACTCACTCTCTAGTGAAAAGCACTATTGATTTCAAGAAAACAATTCCCTTCTCAGGACTAGAGTGAGGTCATAGCAGAAAAAATTGGCAGTGAATATTCTTTTGTTTTACTGTACTGAAAACTGCTGTAAGATGGATCTAAAGTGAAATGCCTCTTAGCTCTCGTATGAATACCTTAATCTCAAGAAAAACGTAATTCATTCTACTGCTGTTTAAGAGCATGATGTTTCCATTGTTTACTCCTTTCTATCTTTTATTACGTATTACAGAGAAGAAAGCAAAATGCCATCAGTAGGAATTACTTCAGCAACACGACACACAGAAATGACCCTTCTAACTAAAAAGGCAAGGCTGGATCCCCATCTCTGTAAAATCTTAAGTACTTCAATCTCTCTATCTGAAAGCAATTTTATAATTAATTCTCATAACCAGGGCTCACTTCAAAGTTTTATAATTTAATCTGCATTAGTATCTCAGTATAATTGGGTTTACGCTTTTAAGTAATAAGGCCAGCTATAAGATAAGCATGCTCCAGAGTGTGAGGAATTTTGCAGTCTGTTTGAACATTTTATAGGCAATTTAAAATATCAACTCAAGGAACAACTTACCATGAAATCAACAGCAGCTCCTGAGTTGGGATGTCTGAGGTAGACAGGGTTAACACTGAAGGTTTGATGTAACTTGTACTTATCCTTAACCCTATCAATTGTAGAATGAACTGTATTTAGCAAAAAATTGTGCAGAGAAAGACTTTGCAATTTGCATGTTATCCTTTTGGT